CTCACTGAGCAGGCCCTCAATCCCTCTGTTACTGTGTCACTATACCCCACTCCCTCTAACATGCAAACTCACTGAGCAGGGTCCTCAATCCCTCTGTTCCTGTGTGTCCAACTTGTCTGGTTACAACTACATGTCTGTTCGTCCACCCATTGTAAAGCGCTGCGGAATTTGACGGCGCTCTATAAATATCATAATAATAATAAATAATAATAATAATAGTAGACCCATGTAAACCAAATATTTACCCTCCCCAATATGACCGCAGACATTTTCCTTGAATCAAACATAATGTCACATTATTAGCTTCAATAACTTAAAGGCCTACATGCCATGTGTGATATCATCATTTCAACATGACATGAATGTCTTAAAAATAGATGTGAATTGGCAAAATAATATTTTTCTATGTTGATTACATAGAAAGAAAAAAACAAAAACATATAATTATTTTATTATTCCTCCTACTTTTATTACCCCTCTCAATTTTATCTTAAAAGCCAGCACATGAGGCAATGAGGGGCAATGTAAAGAGCAGATCCTAGATAATTCATCCCTTTCCTGGGGGTCACCTGTCACATTACATTTGCTGTGTACACCAAGATCGTCCGTAATATTTGTATCCATCTGCTAATGGAGTTCTGATTAATAGTTTCACTTAACAGCCTCCCTGCTTGGTTTCTTAATGTTTCAGCAAAGTGAACAAATGCCTTATTTAATAGAATACGGCAATAAAAAAATGAATTCTTTGGAATACTGCACCCAATATAATCATATTGCTAAACCAGTGTTTCAGTTTTTTTTTGGCAAAGAAAGCCAAGATAAATCTTTTTTAAAACAGCGGCGATTAATCATTTAAATTACTGAAATCTCTAAACCTGCCAGATATAAAAGGGGGTGATTTTTCATATTCTGCGCTGCTATTTCACACTGTCAGTAATAAATGACATTTTTATATATGCATTATTCCTGGAGATTTGAAGAACTGTTTTTAAATCTGAAACTATAAATAAGGAATCCTTCACATCGGGGAAATGTTCTTCTGCCCATATAAGCATCGTTACATTAAAAGGATATTGATTTCAGAGCATGTTTTTAACCACCTAAGGTCCCCACGCCATCTTCAAGGCACTTGGTCTCAATGTCAGGTGACAAAGTCTACAACGATTGCTTGTAAAGTTTTGTATCCATCTATTTATCAATAATGCTTCTCAACAAGCAACGTTTAAACAGATACTATGAGAAGCACTCACTTCTGAAGCTACAGTTCAAATCTAATGAGGGGGAAAACCCTCCCAACCACGATGTTAATTTTGTGACACAGTTGCCAATAAAAAGTGTCTTTCTTCAATTCTGTTTTTAAAAGTGGCCAATTTATTGTATATATTTATTTTCTAATTTGTCTCTTGTACAAGGGTTTATAAACTCCTGTATTGACTACTGGAGTGCTAGTATAATGTACTTCACAGATAAGAAAGACTACTGTGATGAATGCCTCCTTCATGGGTTGCACCCTCTAAACTTTTTCTGTTAATTTTTATTTGTACTGACTTGAATTATTCAATATACAAACTAACAGAACACTTAAAACCTACCCAGTTCGTATACCGAACAAACTGTCCAACCAAAATAGACCGACCACTCAGGACCGTCGTGTGCCGCTAGTTAACCTCCTTGACCTTCCTAACACCTACTCCAAATGCAATCCGTGAACGTTCTAACTGGTTGGCCATTCGTATGGACGAACACGAGGTGGTGGCCATCTTGTTTTGACAAAGGCTTCCAGCAGGGTTTGGTCATCGAGTGCATGGAACTATTATTGGACACTCGACGGCCCGAACACCGCTGAGACTTCCATCCCCACTTGTGTTTGTTCCCATTCATCCGAAGAAAGTGGCATTCGGTGAAATCAAACTCCCAAACGAGGGATACACAACTTGCCTTCTTACGAATGGTTCCTTTTGGTATTTCGTCGTGTTTGGAGTTTGTCTTGTTTTATTTCATCTTCCCTGTTCATGTTTCCCTCATGTATTGTGTACATGTTCTGGGTTCTGCTTTTTGTCCTACTCCGGTTCTGGGTTCTTCTAGTCTTGTCTTGTTATCTTGTTTGGTGTCTGTTCTAGTCTAGCTAAAGCAGGGGCGTACCTAGAGCATTTGGCACCCGGGGCGGATCCTGTGCTTGGCACCCCCCCCCCAACCCTCCCCCCCAAAAAACCTGTAAAAAATGTTAAAGGTTTTATTTCTTTTATTTTTACAATTTGTAAACTTTGCAAAACCGCTGTCAGCCCCTCCTACAAAACCCTTGTCCTGCCCTGCCCCTCCTACAAAACCTCTGTCCTGCCCCTTCTACAAATCCTGTACTGCCCCATCTACAAAACCCCCGCAACCCCCTTCCACAAATCCCCTGCTTATCCCCCCTTATAAAGACTCCTGTCCTAATACAAAACCCCCGCCCCCTTCTACAAAATCCCTGCAGCCCCACACACACATTTACAGGCAGACAGTCACACACTCAGTTACAGACAGACAGTCACACACTCAGTTACAGACAGACAGTCACACACTCAGTTACAGGCAGACAGTCACACACAGTCACAGGCAGACAGTCACACATACACATTTCCTCCGTGCGGCCAGTTTATCAGCTGTTTGCTTGAGTGAGCTGCACTGGCCGCACGGCATCCTAACTACCATGGGACACTGTGCGCCACAGCTCACACAGCCCCCTCCAGCCAGGGCCGGTACAAGGATTTTTGCCGCCCAAGGCAAAAGTAAAGTTTGCCGCCCCCCATGTGACATCACAATGCCCCAGCCATATGATTTGCTATGTTAACTAACGCCAGTGCTGCAGTGCCGCTTCATGTGACATCACAATGCCCCAGCCATATGATTTGCCATGTTAACCAACGCCAGTGCTGCAGTGCAGCCGTGTTTACATTAAAAGGCCTGCAGGGACAGGCTATAGACACCAGAACCACTACATTAAGCTGAAGTGGTTCTGGGGACTACAGTGTTTCTTTAATGTGAGGTAAATTAGAGCTTAGTGCCACGAATAATATACTAGATTGCCTACTTACAACCAGATGAGGATGATGATGGGCTCTAGCTGCGGTCTGGCTCCACTGGTCTGGTGCAGAACAGGCTCTCTGGAGGCGGTTTGTAACTGTGGTCACAAAAATCAATGTTCTGGGAGAACGGGAAGCAGCTCCATTTTTTGGGGGTCCTTTACACAGCTCAAGGTCTGGGTCCCAGGTCCACCTTCATGTTCCACCAATGAGTTTGTTCACAGGGGGTGGAGTGTGTAGGGGATGTCCTGATATGTGTGTAAGGAATGCATTGTGTGAAATTGTGTTTGTATGTGTAAGGGCTGCAAGGTGAGTTTCTGTGTATGTATGGGATGCATTGAATGTGTGTAAGGGGTGCATTGAGTGTGTGTAATGAATGCATTGTGTGTTTCTGTGTGTGTATGGGATGCATTGTGTGTAACGGTTGCATTGCTTGTGTATGTGTGTCTGTGTGTGTAATGCATTGTGTGTTTTTCTGTGTGCAAGGGGTGCATTGTGTGTATGTGATGAATGTCAATCTCTCCTCCCGCTCCAATTTCCTTCTCCTCCTCCCAATTTCTTTCTCACCCCCCCTCCTTTCTCTCTCACCCACCCCCCCTTTTCTCTCTC